TAGTTTTACTTATGCTTCAAGGTTACAAGTTATTCTGGTTACTAGAGAAACAGGGAGGAAACAGGTTTTCTGCAATCTTAATTTTTAAAATGTTAAGCACCAGCACACATCATTTTCCAAATACTTTCAAGGGCATTTTTCTAGAATCAGGTAAATGAGAGCAAGCAAGTGACCTACTTACAGTAAAAAATGCTCCAGGTAATAAAGGATGGGAAGCCAAGTGCATCCTGGAAACCACAGCATCTGGTCTTGTTTTATGCTTCATCTATCAATCTGCTGTTACAAGAATTGAGAATTAATTTTTCAACTACAGTACTGTTTCTTCTATTTCAGCTGATGAATTTATATCATTGTTATTCTTACCCAATCCCTCCCATCCCATCTCCTCTCCCATTAAAAAAAATAACAAAAACAAACCATTTGTGAAGGTCCCAAACAAATCCTAAGGAGGTTACGCTTTATCTACTCCTTAAAACTTTTGATAAGCTACACTATACATAGTAAGGTTAGCAATTCCCTGTTTTGATCAATCCTGACTTTCCATAGATGTTATCATTTGAACAGTGTATTTTCAGAACTGTATTAAAGCTAAACAACAAAATGTTACAGATTTAAAATAAATATGTTCAAAAACTGTTTATTGCCCTCGCTGGCTTGGCTCAGTGGATAGAGCGTCAGCTTGCGGACTGAAGGGTCCCAGGTTCGATTCCAGCCAAGGGCACATGCCTGGGTTGCGGGCTTAATCCCCAGTAGGGGGCGTGCAGGAGGTAGCCAATTAATGACTCTCATCATTGATATTTCTAGCTCTCTCTCCTCCCTTCCTCTCTGAAATCAATAAAGAAATATATTTTTAAAAAATGTTTATTGGTAGCATTAACTGTAAAAGATATACAATTGGCAGCAGTGCCTGAGAAAAGAATTATGTAGCAATGTAAGAGTGTAAATTAGAGCTATCCAGATGACATGAGAAAATTACATACATGCTCATTTGTACATAAGCATTTTAAATTATATGTAAAATTTAAAAACATAAAAGCATGAAAAGTAGATTTACAACAGTATGTTCTTTGAACTTTGCTGTTGCATCTCTTCGCTCTCTGTGCTTTTTATAGAATGGAGCTATAATTCATCTTTCACTACTTTCAATCTGTTGAAATTTTAATTTTCCATTATTTTTGCCTTATTTCATCTTATTTCAATGGAAGCTTCAAGCATTTAATCTTGGTCTTTCTTAATGCTTTCATGGCTTCAGGTACAGCTTCATATTCTTGCTTTACTTTCTTTCTCCTCCCATTCTATTCAATAACTTGTCAAAATACTAATTAAGGTTATTCTTTTCTGATGAAATATTTTAAAAAGAACCAAGGTTACCAAGTGACTATTATACTGGCATAATTACTGCTATATAATTTTACCTATTTGTTGCAGTTCTACTCTTTCTAAATCACTGTCAAGCGAATCAGTTCTAATGAGTAATGAATAGGGTCCAAAAATTTCAGATTTGTTTTTCCTTCCAGAGATTTTATTCCCATCATGAGTCTTCCATGCTTTGATTTCTAGATGTATCCCAGCTGACTTGATGGTTTAGCTGACCACATCGGCTTTGGAGCCTGGGGCAATAGAGATTTTTGTAAAAATACATCTGAAATCACTGACTAGGGGAGGATTATCCAAAGTGTAGTCCAAAACTATCTTTATCCAAATCATCTCAGGGGCTTATTCAATGTAAATCCCTAGGCCAGTGATGGCAAACCTTTTGAGCTCGGCGTGTCAGCATTTTGAAAAACCCTAACTTAACTCTGGTGCCGCGTCACATATAGAAAATTTTTGATATTTGCAACCATAGTAAAACGAAGATTTATATTTTGATATTTATTTTATATATTTAAATGCCATTTAACAAAGAAAAATCAACCAAAAAAATGAGTTCGCGTGTCACCTCTGACACGCGTGTCATAGGCTCACCATCACTGCCCTAGGCCCAAACCTAGAGTAGTTAAATGGGAACCTCTAAGGCACGGACCTGGAGATCTGCCTTTTTCCAAGTTGTCCAAGTCTGTATAGATCCACGGTGAAATGTGAGAACCCCTAAATCTAAGGAATCCTTTCCCATTCGGGGTCCAGTGCATTGAATGACCTTGGCTGCAGAGCAAACTAACCACACTCTCACCCAACTAACAAAAGCAAAGAGAATTTAGTTCTGTGGGGAAATGGGGCGGGGGGGTGAGGTGGGGGGAGAGAATCTTCCATAAACTGTTTTAAGAGGCATTAGTTTTTTTAAAAAAACTTTCTACAATAAATATAATAATTATTTCTAATATCTTGATTCTAACAATCACAGAGGGAAGGTTCAGAAAGTCTACAAAAAAATCTGTTGTTATAATTTCCTGATTAATATTACACCTAATGAATTATTTATTGAGCCCCTACTGTGGGCCAAATATGGTGTTTTGTGCTGCCAGTGATTATATAAAGCTATCCTGGGATGAAAAGCATATGCTCACTCTGTTCTATTCTAAAAGAACCTACTTGATTTAGTGATTGCTGAAAATGAACATGTATGGTATGTGGAAAGGCAGTAATTTGATGTCTTTGGGCCTAGGCATAGGAGGCTTCCTAAGGATTTGCTAAATGAAAATTAGGTCCAAAAGGTATAGCTCTAGGCCCTTGGTTTATAACCAAGCCACTGAAAAAGGAATGAGAAGCAGCATTTATTTGGGGACAGGTAGACTATTTAGGGTCAGTTGTGATTACTTAATCCAACAATTTCCTTTCCTATGTAATCATACCCCAGTATTAGGCAGATGCAATCATATTGGAAGTTCCAACTCATTCTAGAACTCATTTAGCATGTCCCTAGTAGGGCAACCTACCCCTCATGGTTTGCCTGAAACTTTTTCTGTTTTAGCATTGAAAGTCCAATGTGTCAGAAACCCCCTTAATGTCAAACAAACTGGGTAGGTTGGTCATGTGGTCCTTAGAGCAAGACAGGTTAAGGTTCTTAGTTGACCTAGTTTCACTCAGGGTATGATTACCTTAGTGGGCCACAAAACATAATGTTCTTTCCTGCAGTAACTTCTACCTTTTAGCTCTGTCAAGGCATGTTCCCATGAGCATCCCAAGCAATGATTCAGATTGAGGATAATTTCAGGGGCCCAGATGAGAGTATCTTCTAAGACTGACTGACAAACTGGCTTATATTTTTTTGTAAACATTGTTCGGATCTCCTAATCATTCTGTTTTCCTCAAAATTCTATCTTCCTCTGTAAGTAATCAGTCTAGTAGTACTCCAAACATAGTTTCATATCATTATAAAAATTTACACTATGATTGTAGACACCCATATAGACAAGAAGCCTGGATATAAAACATGAACCACTTACAATAAATTCCATTCTGATGGTCAGTGACTCCAATCAGTTTTTAAACTTTCACTCACCCACATGGCCGGCCAGTGTGCCTCTGTGGTTGAGCGTAGACCTATGGACCAGGAGGTCACTCTTCAATTTCCAAGTCAGAGCACATGGCTGAGTTGCAGGCCCTTCTCCAGGAGAGGATGTGCAGGGGGCAGCCTATCAATGATTCTCATCATTGATGTTTCTCTCTCTCTCTCCCCCTCTCCTTCCTATCTGATATCAATAAAAATATACTTAAGAAAAATAAACATCCACACATCCCTATCATTCCATCCTCTCCCTTTAAAGCCTCACGATTTTGACATTTCATTTGAACTCTTTCATCTAGATTTTAAAATTTAACTGGTATTACATTACTATCTCTAAGACAATATATAAGTGTAGGGTTTGAATTAGACAGATCTGTTCCAAGGAAATTTTGCCCCTTTTTAGATATACAAACTTAGGAAAGTTTAAGTTTTAAAATTTGCTCAGCTATAAAAAAGAAGAAACTGATGGCTATTTTAGAGGATTGGTTTTTGTTGTTGTTTTGTTTTTGGGGAGTTTAGATCCGGGATGTGAATATTGCCTGACACCTAGGGCTGTCGTTCAATAAACTGTAGCTATTATCCTCACTACAGTATCACAAGCTTGTAACAATGGCAGCATTCACTAACTTCAACAATCAGGCTGCAGAATTTTAAGCCATCCGAGACGACGCCTAAAACAGAGGGGCACAAGCGGCCTTCCCTAGGAAGGTAGGGAGAGGAGCGGTCTCACGGCCTCTATCTGAACAAGTGATGCTTCTCATACCCGAGGACAGTGTCTCATGTCGTCTCGCCCCCTGGCAGTCTGTTGAGGAGGCTCTGGCTTTCAGGTCTGCTCCCTTGGGACCTCTGGGGTCACGTCTCTCATTCTGGAAAGGGGAAGGGGTAAAGAAAAAGGGAAGTCACCCAAATGCAAAACCTGTCACCAGATGCCCCATTCCGTCCTGACTACCGGGCCCGCCTGGGTGGGCTGCACAGTCGTTCCGCTGTCAGGTTTGCAGGCGCCACCCCCAGGTGGCAGGAGGGTGAGCTCACCCTGGAAACCGAAAGGCAGATGGCGAGGGTTGGCCGTGCGCGGCAGCGCAGGCACCGAGCAGTGGCGAGCGGGTCTGCACGGGAGTGAGGGGAGAGAAGGGCGGGAGTTGGCGTTCAGCAGGACTCAGGGGATGACACGGAACATTTCTTTGCCCGCTCATGAAGGCTCCCCTATTTCTCTGTGCTGCGCCCAGAGCCCGCGAGCAGGGGAAGGTCTTTATGGGACCAGCACCTTCCCCAGTTCCACATCCGAGACTCATTGGATAAACGCAGCGCCTTGGCAGACACACCGGCTTCGCGGAAAGCCTCTGGCGGGCAGTGAGCAGGTTAAGCAGCGTCGGCGCGACCTCGTTGCGGTCCGAGCCGCGTACCATGCCTAAAACCCGGAAGCGCGTCCCTCCCGGCTGACAGCCCGGACTGCGCATGCTCGGCGCGAGGGGGCGGGCCGCGTCCTGCCGGAAGTGTTCTCTGCCAGGCGGCGTTTCCTTCCCGGGTGACACGAGCTGAGGACTCCTGCTGCCGGTGTTTTTGCACGGGAGGGAGTAGCGGGTTCCGGCGGGGCCTCGTGGTGCGGGCGCGGGATCCCAGTGAGCTCCTTCAAGGACCGGCTCGGAGCTGGGAAGCCCAGCGAGAAAGGTCAGCTCTCCTTCCTCCATGTCCCACCTCCATGTCGCCCCCTAGCCTCCCCCAACCCTGGGTCTCCAGCGGATTCACCTCCAAGGGCGTCCCCGGCCTCGCCTTGGCTTCCCGCCCGGCCTAGGCCCTCGGGTCTCGGCGAGAACTGTTTCCGAGAGTTATACCGTTTCCTGCAGGGAATGTGTAAGGCATCGGGGTCGCTGCTTGGGCTTGGGGTCGTCCCGGGCGACCTCAGAACCGGGGTCTTCGCCAAGGCGGCCCGAGTGAACGGGGTGTGATTGTTGCAGTGGCACGGATCCCACCTAGTGCAGAAGCGGAGGTGATCCTTACGGCCGGGGCACACTTTCGCGGAGGATGATGTTAATTATAACCTGTCCTTTATGTGAAGGTTGGCAGTCTTTCATTGACAGACATAGCCTCGTGTTCATTGAACCTTGATGTCTGCGAAACCGGGACTTTGGGGTTGAGAAAAACTTTGTAAAAACACTGCCCTGAATCAGGAGAGAAATACTACAGGGTGAACACTAGACACAATCCTTAACCTGTCGGTACACTGGTCATTGACAAGGTAGTGCGATTTCAGAGTTTTCTGCCCTGAAATGGAGAAGAACTCTTTGAAATGAACAACTATCTGGTGTCATGTTTCCCTAGCAAATAACAGCGTGACAGTGTTTTGCGGTATTTCTTAGTTGTACAGAGCACCGTCTAGGTTTAACTACATAAATGTGTGTCATGTCGTTGATCCTAATGTTTTATAAAAGGTTGAAATACATTCCCTGCTGCTGTATGCATATGCAGCTTTCATTGCAAATTGTGCTGTAATGGTGGTGTTACTGTAACGACCTTACATTGCAGGCATATCAATGTCATATGAATGATAGATAAGTGTGCAATAAAGTATATACAGTTACAACCTACAAGTAGAAGTTTCAGTTTCATTTCAGGATTTTGAGGTCATTTTAAAAGATGGAGTACTATTTTAGAAATGACCGTAGGTCTGGACTACTGTATTACAGCTAATGATTTAATTATAGGAAATAATGTACTTAACAGAGGTCTTGCATCTTAATATTTTTTATAGGATTAAAATTGTTACTATCTTGACTGGGAGGTACTGGTAACAACTGTAGTTATTCATGTAGTTCAGTGAACATCCAGTAGATGGCAGTCTTTTCACTACTAAATCAAACTTTAAATAAATGAAAACCTTTTATTCAAACATCTCTAGTTTTCAAAGATTGTTAACTTAAAACCCTTATTTTGCCTACCGATTTATTTTCGTCAATGAATAGTGTCCCTCATAATGATACTACATATCCTATCCAACTGCATTTTCAAATTTACTCTGTTGGAATAAAGGCTAAAGAAGTCAAATTTTCACATCCTATGAGAAGTGGAATATTCTTAACCTATTTATAGAAATTTATGCTAATGGAAGAAAGCACACTTTGATTTATTATAAGAGGAGACATTTTAATTAGGTGGCTTCTCCCTAGCTCCATTAAAAAACACACACAATATAATAAGACTGCGCGTTCCTTGTGTAAAGTAATTGTATCTTAGCCATTATTGTATGTCCAGTATATAGTAGGCATTATATACATTTAATAAGTGCTTTATGGTATGAATTAAATAAATCATTTAGCACTTCTAGGCCCCAGTTTCTTCCCCCACAATGAAGGCTTTCAATTTTTTAGTTAAGTTTAAATGAAATAATGTCATATTGTAAAGTGAATGGCTTCTAGTAATGGAGAAGTAAAGTCAATGGAACCTTTGACTTTTCTTTGAAGCTGTTAAGAAATTGGGCAGCAATTGTGTTGGAATGATTGAATGGGAGGTTTTCTGCAGTTCCAATTTATTTGTTAAATAATTATTGAATAGACTCTTTTTTTGTATGTGACAGTTATAAAAATGGGTAAAATATAAATCTTGTTTATAAGGATTTCAACTCTAGTTGAGCAGACTCAATATCACATAAGTTAAATAATACAACCAAATGAATAATATAGAGGATTAGTGTGATCTGAAAGCCTTCATGGAGCATGTGAAGCTTTTAAAATTTGGATAGAATTTGACTAATCCTAGATGAATGGGGAGAAATGGCCCATCCAGGGCAGATAGGCTAGAGCAGTGGTTGGCAAACTGCGGCTCGAGAGCCACATGCGGCTCTTTGGCCCCTTGAGTGTGGCTCTTCCTAAGCCTTAGGAGTACCCTAATTAAGTTAATAACAATGTACCTACCTATATAGTTTAAGTTTAAAAAATTTGGCTCTCAAAAGAAGTTTCAATCGTTGTACTGTTGATATTTGGCTCTGTTGACTAATGAGTTTGCCAACCACTGGGCTAGAGGGATAATACTTAAGGCATTTTCCGATCCTAGTGACACCAACTATTGAGAATTCCTACTAAGAAGTGGTGAGAAGTAAAATGCTTAAGTTACTCTTTTGGGGCTAGGTTAGAATAGTCTTTAATAGTTGGGATTCCTGTAAATAAAGGGAAAGATTTGAGGTCTTTTTATTAGGGAGGGATATATATACTCTTGAATGGAGGGGAGGTATCTAAAAGGAATTTCAAAATTGTGGGCACTATTTTAGAGGGAGGGACATGAAGAGGATCTTTAATTGAGTAGTAATAGTGAGAAGAGAAATAATTTTTAGAGCTGGAGTGACCTGCAGTACCTAATTTTTACCTGTTGCTGAGCCATTTGTACAAATCCTGATTTGTTCCCTTTCACATGAGTGCAAAATGTATATTCTCTTTGTTTTTTTTCCCCCTGGTCATATAGCACTCAACACATTTCTGTGCTATCTATACTAATAAAAGCATAATATGCTAATTAGACTGGGCAGCCAAATGACCTTCTGAAAGTCCACATTGTCCCTAATAAGGTTGTTATTCTGGGTAGGCATTGCCTTGGACAGGGATGTGCATGCCTTCTGTAAGCCTAGCTATGACTGATGTAGCTGCTCAGAGATATATGTAAAAATAGGCTCATTGCCTTTTTTTACCCCTCTCTCTCTTGGGTGTGGGCTGTATTTTTGTGGTTCAAAACTATTTGAAGATTCTGTTGCTTCAGATTTAGCTGGGTTGTAGGAAACAATAGTATATATAGCTCAAAAAATGACACTTATTAAGGAAATGGCATGTTTAAATTTAAGCAGGCCTTGAGGACCTTTAAAAGTAAATATTAGGAAATAGTGAGTTCACAATTTGAATTTTACTCAAAAATTACCTGGTTTACATTACACTTAATAGAAAAAATTCTTACCATCACATTAGTAAAGTATCTCATTGTTGGGCTGCCTTTCTTCAGTTAGATTAGTGTTAGAGTCATTATTTTTCTAGACTCTGAAATTGTAGTTATTTTAAAACTGTTTGAAGAGTAAATAAATACCTTAAAATGTTTTGTATTTTTCAAATAGAATTATTCTCTACTTAAATTATATGAGCTTTTAGGGAAGTTCATTAAAAATTCTAGTAAATTAACCTCAGTTTCTAATTTGTCCCTTCAGTTACCAAGGGGAGCTTAAAATGTGTTTGTTTACCTAACACTTAAAAATCCATTTCTCCTCAAAATAAAACACTTTTTAAAGGTAGGTAATGTTGAATTTGACTAGCAGTTCTTGTTGCTTAATATAAGGTTCTTACCAGCCTCCTAGTTTTTATGACTAGTTATTACTTAGTGACATTTCTGTTTGTTTTTTAAGGGTTAACTGTCAAGATGGTACATGCTGAAGCCTTTTCTCGTCCCTTGAGTCGGAATGAAGTTGTTGGGTTAATTTTCCGTTTGACAATATTTGGTGCAGTAACATACTTTACAATCAAATGGATGGTAGATGCAATTGATCCAACCAGAAAGCAAAAAGTAGAAGCTCAGAAACAGGTATGAATAAAATATTTGAGGATCATTTTTCTTGTAGTTAGCAAATATTTTTCCATAAAACTAAGGATGTAGTAGAATTATAAGTTAATGAGAAATTCTGTAAGATTTACATTAAAATGTTTTTGTCATATTTCATTATTCCTAAAAATAATTGTTTCTCAAATACTTTTTGATATATAAGCAACTTTAGAATAGAAAATGATGAATAAAAATATTATAGCATTTGGTTCTGAACATTCTCATTAGATTATTTTTTGTCAGCTATTTGTTTCTGAAGGAATCTAGGTAAAATTTTTTAACAGATTAAACAAAATTTATCTTTAATACGGTGTACATTTTGCTTTGTTTGACATTTGAAATGTGGAAAATACTGACAAGTATTCAGTCATAAATTTACAAACTACACTAATTTCTAATTAAGGAATTGCTTTTAAAATGTTAATATAAGTTGTAATTTTATTTTTCACCTATTGCCTCTTGTGGTCCTTTTCTCATTAAGATGATATATTTGTTTTGGTTCCTGTTTTTCTTTAAAAAAACAAAGCCTTCAAGGAGTCTATCAAATTTTTCTTGCTGCTTGAGGGCAAGATGTTTTATTCATGGATTTTTAGATTTCTTCTGTGAATTGTGACCCTGTTGCATTCAATAAATCTTTATTGAGCTCCTAGCAAATGCTTGGTGCCAAGGATAAAAGATGAATAAATCTTGTTCTTTCAAATGCTGTAGGCTGGTGTGAGAAATTGGGATATAAAGAAATGACTGTTTTACAGTGCTATGCATAGCTCTTAAATCAATGAAAACTGTACTTTTATAATTACTGCTTATTGTATATGTCTGAAAAACAATTTGGACACTTGTGAGTTTGTTCCTCGAATATGATTATAAGCTAATTGACTCAATGTCTAGATTATATCATATCAGTCAACTCATAGCTCTCTAGGAAGTCTGATTAGTGTGGATTTTAAAAAAAAAATGAATTTGTGTATGCCCACATGTACCCACATGTCAACCTAAGTGCAGCCCCACTCTATCTTTATTGAGCTCCTAGCAAATGCTTGGTGCCAAGGATAAAAGATGAATAAATCTTGTTCTTTCAAATGCTGTAGGCTGGTGTGAGAAATTGGGATATAAAGAAATGACTGTTTTACAGTGCTATGCATAGCTCTTAAATCAATGAAAACTGTACTTTTATAATTACTGCTTATTGTATATGTCTGAAAAGCAATTTGGACACTTGTGAGTTTGTTCCTCAAATATGATTATAAACTAATTGACTCAATGTCTAGATTATATCATCATATCAGTCAACTCATAGCTCTCTAGGAAGTCTGACTCGTGTGGATTTAAAAAAAAAAATGAATTTGTGTATGCCCACATGTCAACCTAAGTGCAGCCCCACTCCCGCCACCTGAATCATGAAAGTCAATTTAAGTCTGAGGTCAAATTATTGATAACGTCATGTTATTTAAAAATTTTTAAAGAGCAGAATGTGACTTTGAACACAATTTTGTCATTTATTTTCTTGGTTTCTAAGAGTGCTGGGATACACATGTGGAAGACATGTAGAAAGCCAAATATAGATACTTAAGTAATACATGAACACATTAAGCCTTTATTGAAAACTGCGTATATAGTATTGGTCAAAATATCAGGTACGTGAAGTATCTAATACCATATTTGTCATCATAGTGCCATGTAGGGAGAAAAGACTTGTTCATGACAATATAAATTATAATCATAAGTAGATTATTCTAATTTCCTACTGAGTAGTGAAGACAGAAACTATGGCATTCACAGAAAGCATTCACTGATGATTGAGGCAATTGAGGATGACTTCATGAAAGATCTTGGCCTTGAATAGGCAAGGACAGTTTTAAGTAGAAAATCATGAACAGAATCATGATGGGGGTAGGAATAACAACACCTGTTAAAGAAACAGTAAATAGACTACATGGGTTGGAATAGAGTGTTTATGCAACTAACTAGTAGAATTTGGAGGGAAAATTAAGGGACTAAATGATGAAGGACTCTTGAGTATAAAGTTAGAGAA